GAACCAACGTATAGACATCTACAACAGCAATTCGGATTCTACAACAGCAACATAGCCAGCGTTTGTGCTTGTCTAGTAAGACCATTGAATGATATGCATCGATTTATTGATTTCCGATTGGATTTATCGGGATTTATCGAATTGATTTCTTATCGTACGGATTCACTGATTTCATTGATTGATCATTGAGCATTGCTACTACTATTGATTATTGATCATTGATATTATATGGACATGGACGGCATAGATTCATAGACTCATTGATACCATTGATTCTTCATCGATTTGACTTGCTGCTGCTATTGATTTATCGTATTGCTTTTCCGATTGATTTTACCGACTTGATACTAGAGATTTGCTTTGATACGATAGATTGATTCGATACGATTGATTTGACTGATCGACGGATTCTCTTGAGATTTCACGTACTGATTTATTGAGTTGATTTATCGATTCGTCTACCGCTGCATTGACTGGTTTTATTGACTATTGGATTTCCGTATTGCATAGATTCATTGACCATTGACTGATATGATTTGATTGACTGACATACATATTGATAGCATCGCCGTGCTTTGATTTCAGTTATAGGTATTAGGTGACCTGCTGGGCTTTATAAAGCTCATTATATGTGGTTGATATTTTCAGGTCAGGGCAAGGGAGCAGAAGATAGGATTTGATCCAGATCTTCAGGTTTTTGTCTTTTGATTGATAGTAATTCTTTTGTGCTCAGGATAGATTTCAACTGGTGATTGTAGTGTAGTTCCTGAGTATTGTACATGACTTTTTGAGATATGAATTGACTTGTATATTGATGTTTTAAATTTTATAGATGTTTGATAGACTGGTTAATTGAAGGTTTTAGATAACTCTGGTAAATTGTTTGAGTAATTGATTGACATTCTTTCCAAGTTAGATCTTGGGGCATCACATTGAGCTAGATAGATGAGGAACTGGATGAACTTTTGGGGAGGTCATCTTCTCAAAGAATGACATAAAATCAAGGTACCACCATATCAGAATGAAGCTAGTGGATGTGCACAAGACAGCTTTTAGGACTCATGAGAGTCACTACGAATTTTTGGTGATGTCTTTCGGCCTTATCAACGACCAACCACTTTTCAGTCCCTCATGAATTGAATCGGGTTTTTCAACCCTACCTCAAAAAATTTGTTTTGATATTTTTTATGACGATGCTAGAGACATTGAGGAGAACCAGCTGTATGCCAACTTGAAGAAATGTTAGTTTGCACAACCATATGTGGAGTACCTAGTACATGTGGTGAGAAAAGCAAGGGTAGCAGCATACCAATCCAAGATTGAGGCTATGTTGGATTGACCTTTAATTAAGAACCTGAGGGAGCTGAGACGGTTCTTAGGCCTCACTGGGTACTACCGAAAGTTTGTGTGAGGGTATGACATGATAGCATAGTCATTGACTGAGCAGTTAAAGAAGGACAATTTCAAGTGGGGGGAGGCAACAACGAAGGCTTTCGAAAAGCTGAAGAAAACAATGGCCAGTGTACCAATGTCAGCACTTTCTGACTTTAGTAGGTCAGCTTCAAGTGGGAGAGGCTGCCACTACTTTGGTATTCATGAAGTTTTTCTCTTGTTTGCTCGTTTTTGTTTTTACTTCCAAGGCATATCACATTCATGAAGATGTGCCATTTCTTCGTATTTTGAGAGACCACCGATAGATATTTTTCTTTGATATCCATTGTTTTCAACAAAGACATTCCTCCTCTTTGTGAAGAATTGTGTTTAACATGAACAATTCTCAAGCACACAAATTTCATTTTTCGTTGGAGTGAAAATAAAAAGGTTGAGCACCTATGAACTATAAAATAAGAAATGTCATATTTCTTCAATGTAAAGTGATAAGAATTAAAAAATAGAAAACCTCAAAATAATCTCATTAAGAAAGGTTACCTCAGAGGAGTTTTCTTTGAGAGGTTCATCATGGGATCTGGATGTCTAAAAAAGATTCCAAAATACCCAGTAAAAATTGGAAAAGAACATATACTTCTAAGCAAAGAGAGGGTGAAAGAAGTGCTAATATTAGTAGTAAATTATACAAACGGTGACAAGCACTAACAGGGTTTGATGAATTCCGAATTTCGTTCTCTAATTCAATTGACCTTGGGGAAGATCCTTCCTCTGTTTCCTCAGGGACTGGCGAAGGAGGGCTTCCAGGAACATAAACCACCCTTAGCTTAAGCTCATCAACAACCTTATTAGGTTCTTTATTAAACTACAAATTTAACAAAGCCTATTAGTAATCAACTTATAATAAAGAATATAGCATACAACAAAGAACCTCATAGATGGCGATGTACCATTTCAGATGTTATATCCTTCATTGTGGCTCCACTGGCAGCAATAACGCTCAGCACAAGAAATTTATCCTTACATTGCATGTCAGGAGGAGCCTCCTTTTGAGCTTGCATTGTAACTATTATAGTTAAAAATATATTAAAATTATAGTATTTTGCATGATAATTCACTTAAAATATAGAACTCAAATGTCAGAACACTTCATCACTAACCTAACACATCACATGTAGATCCTGGAAGAACAATTCCTGTATTTGGGCGCACACTATATTTCTTTGGATTGGTAGTTTTAACCTTTAAAAAGATAAGAAAACAGACGGATATCTAATTTGAAAAGAAAACAAGGCAGGTGGCAAGAAAGCAAAGCTATGAACATAATTAGTGTAAGAAAACGAAGCCAAAGAGTATTGAAATCGATTACCTTGAAAGCAAC